TACAGTTAAAAAAATAATCAGAGAACTGAAATATCGAGGCCAAGGCCCAAAACCCGAGCCGACTGGAAAGGCAAAAATTAAGGAGTCGGTTATTTTTGCGGGTAACGAACGTGGAGAAACGCTAAGGGGACTCTGAGGTGCAAACCGACATCCTTTCCCGCAAAAGATAAATAGCTGCTCCCTAGAATTATTTCCGAATTGACTTCACCTCTCGTGGTTTTCAGTCCAGTTTCCTGCTTGCCGTGCACTACATCAGTCAGTCAGGCAATGTAATTGAGGAAAAGATAGGCTCACGCCTTTAAACTCCCTATTTTCATATCAAAATCTAAAGTATTAGAAACAATGTAAAGAAATTCCAGTCAGGCGAATGTAGACAGAGTCGCATCTTGCATTGGTGGTTTAAAGTTAGTTAGTCATATAGTTCACATTGTGCTACAGCATATTAATATCAAGCCCGCGTTCGAATGTCTCTACAGATTGGGACATGAAAATCGCCTTGGGTAGGTTATTCAACGGTTCCACGAGCCGGTTAGAAAAAAACAAATAATTTGAAGGGATGTCTGCGAAGTTTAGTTTTAGTGGAGAGTTGGAAAACGTCGTCATACAGGAGGCCGCAGTCCAAGCTACGCAAGATACGGAAGGTTTGTGTCAAGTCGCAGCGTAACTGTCCATAATTCACAGGATAGAAATTACGGCTAGCCAGCCGAATCTCATATAGGAGTGCACCTTGACCTCTTTTTAATTTTGTTGCCCGCTACTGCACCCTTTCACGTGGTTTGTAATCCTGCTGCTTCCACGGTCTCCAGGCTCGGACCACGTATTCACGATGTAGCCTTATAAATGTACCGAATATTTTCGAAAAGCAGTCTTAATTTAAAATGGTGAATGCACAATTGATGGCGTAAAACACTGAAGTTGCAAATTTAACCGCTCTACAACACTGTGTAGAAAGTTTAAGGATATCTGTCATCCAGATGCCGAGATCATTCTTTATTTCTGCATTTCGGAGTGGCATTCCGTTCAGATAGTAGGGTCGCGTATCGCAGACTTGATTTTGATTTTTCAGACTCAGGAGAGTACATTTGTTCGAATTGAAGGACAAGGACCATCTTCATGACCACCCATTAAATAGGAAAATGTGGTAAACCGAAGCAGCTGCCCGGCAGTAAGTCGTCAGTAGGTAGGCTGTATGCGCCTACTCGCGAATTGGTTTGCGAAATGCGCCCGATGGCGGAGAAGGAAGTACGGAAGAGGATTTTCGCTACCCAAACGGAGAGGGGTTATATAGAACTCCCAAACAGTAGAGGCAAATGGAAGTTGCGGTAACAGTGGATGCATGCAAAGCCCAACCCGCGGTATTAAGTGAAACTTAGTATACG